GAACGAAGTTTTGAATTTTCAGTCCTAACTACTGAACGGTAATATTTAGCTCATGAAAATTTATTTGATTGTGCCTCTGTTTGCGAGTTTTTTTTTATTTCACCTTCATTTGTGATTTAAACAGCAATACGTGCTTAAAATCGCAGTAATCAAGAAATTTCCTCCAAAAATACTGAATAGATTTGAATGAAACTTAGTACGGTATTTAAATACCTAACCTCAGCAATGGTGATGTTTAGCTTGCTACAATTTTTTTGTTTTGCCTTCGTTTGCGAGTTATATGGCATAACTATACGGATATTCGTAAACGGCTTAGTTAAACCAGCCGGTAGAAAAGCCGGTTGTTCCTCCTACATCTGTATAACTCGTGAACGAAAGCAAAATAGAAAAATTGTACAAGCTAAACATCACCATTAGGAAGTTAGGTATTTATATTCAAAGTTTCGTTGAAATCTATTGAGTAGTTCAGAAGAAATTTCTTGATCGCCGCAAATTAAAGCGACAAATTATCCGGCAATACAGCCCAAATATAAGGAAGTGTGAAATCAAGAATGACGATAAAATGAAAAAAAAAACTCGCAAACAAAGGTAAAATCAAAAAATTTTTGAAGCTAAAAAATAACTGTTTGGTAGTTAAGAATGTATTGTCAAAATTTCATTCAATTTCAAATTTTTGTTCAAATTATTTGATCACTGCAAATTTCGGCCTTTATCGCAATATAACTCACAAATGAAGGTGAAATTAAAAAATTTTTACAAGCTAAAAATCACCGTTAGGTTCTGATGAATACATGTCCAAGTTTCATTGAGCTGCGTTCATGTTCATTAGTTAGGGAGATATTACTTGATAATTGAATTTGAAGATAGGTAGTGCGACCGGCCACGAGTCCGGCCGTAAATTTGCCCAAGACGTCCTAGGCCACACTCAGGATTATGTATGTTTTCAGGGAATTTTCCCGCGCATTTTGACTTTTTTCAAGCTATTGCGGTGCACAGTTGGTGCAACTTCTGGCCATCCCTGCTTGCACGCGCAAGCGTTGGCGCAGCACACGCAAGCGTTGATGCAGCACGCACAAGCGTCGGCGTAGCACGCACATACATTTTGTCAAGGGACAAGAGACAGAAAATGTACAATACTTAATAATTGATATGCATTTAATTATCCATCAATAATCTATGATTTTCCTTGATATGGAAATTTTGTGAAAGCAAAAATCTAGAAATTTATTTTCGAAGAAATTTTCTACAAATTTCTTATACAAACTGGCGAACATCGTTTGCGTTTGTTTACCTACTGCAGACCGTCCGGTCCGGACGTGAGGCAATATTCAGTGCGGACGTGAGGCAAGTGCTGAATAACCAAGTCCTCAGAAATTGGACATATGAAGTAAACAAATATTAGTGTTAAATGACAGATTTTGCTTGTTCTATATACCTATACTATTATTGCGCTGATAGGGTTATTAGAGATTCTACGGTTGATGAAAGGAGTCAGAAATAATTTCATCATTGTAATTAATGGGAAAATAGTTTCGAGTGCGAAATCTTTTGTAAATAAAATATGTCCTGACATACGTAACTGTCATCAGAAATTCCCAACATCGTCTTTACATACTTTTACGCAATGCTGCTTCATCGTCATGTGATAACATCTCGGACAAATTTACGGCCGTACTTGCGGCCAGTTTCGCGGCTGGACTCTGCCTGAAATTTCTCCAATAGTACTGAACGTAGTTCAGTACTATTATTATAATTATCAGTATTATTATAATTGTATACTATATACAATTATTTTTAATATCGCCTTCATTTATGAGTTATATGACGAAACGTACCGAAATTTACAGTGTACCACTATGTCTCGGACAAATTTACGGCCGGTCTCGTGGCCGCCGGACATAGAAAAAACCTAGCCAATCAACGAAAACCTTGCTGGTTAGGTCCAGTTAGGAACAGGTTCCATTAAAAACCCATAAAACCTAGAAAAACTCATAAAAACACTAAGAAAACCTTTTGGCTGCGAGACCGGCTGCCAGTCCGGCTGTAAATTTGTCCGAGACCTGTGTACCAGCCATTTCTTCTAAAATACTGAACAGATTTTAATGAAACTTTGCATGTAGAAACCTAACCTCCCAACGGTGTGATGTTTAGCTCGTGACAATTTTTT